CTGTTGGCTGCACTTTCTCTTTTGGTTTAAGGCTCATGTGATTTCACAGAAAGGGGTTCATAGTAAATTGAATCATGAAACCCACCTCAGATACCTAAATGTACTTGTAGTTTTTGTAACTAAGTCAAAATTAATCAGTGAATAAATCCCACAAAGCAAATGTAATTTTTCATGTTCTCACCAGACTAACCTTCAAACTTGCATGGGTTTAGAGCTTCTTTTTTTTTTACTTTTCTGATGCTTTAGAAAAACTTATGTCCAGTAAAGAGTCTGCTGCAAAAAGACCATTATCAGTGACCTGTTACAAACCACCATAGCCTAGTTGCATATACTGGGAGAGAGCCTACAGTTTTGTTTTGCTTTGAATATGATCCTCTGTGCGTCATTTTAAGGACCCAGCTTGTGATCCATGTAGCTTTCACTGTCTAATATAACTCTAATCTCAACCACACAGTCTTATCTCAGTTAACACTTTAATGAATGGCCTCGTGCTGCACAAACTGCTGTTTAATCCATGTGCGCTCACCATCTATCCCTTACAGAATGGCCTGACCCCTCTCCTTGTCGTAGCTCATTATAGTAACCAGAAGGTGGCGCTCCTGCTTTTGGCCACGCCATGGCCAAGGTGAGAGTCCACAGTGTCAACTATTAGTGACTGCTGATCATGCCTGGAGCAGAAAGTCTAAAATGCTCCCTTGTAACAAGTCTTAATTGAATTAAAATATGAATTATTAATATTTGTTGCAATAAGTTGTTCTGACTTGTCATTTTTGTCAGGTAACACCCCTCTGCTCTATTTTTATTATAACATTAACAGCTGAGATTTTTTTTTCCTTTGGTTTTAAGTACATTTATTTATTATCATTATTCTTTGATTAATTTAATCATGTGTTCTTTTGTACATTCTGTGAGCAGCAAAACTTATACAGTGCATACAGTATATGAAGATAATAAAAGATTATTTGGACATTGAAAACAAGGGAGCAGGGGGTTCTCACCTGGTATCATGTGACCAAAGCTCCATATGTAAGCCATGAGGACGAAACATAATTTTCTGAGGAAGATCATGAGATGAGATTTGAAAGCTCTGGATAAAGCTAGTCATTTGACTTTGAGTTTACTTTGCAGCAGTTTTAAGGTCAAAAACAGACTTTTGTGTTATAAAGATTTACACATGTATACTGTAGTGTAATTTCCTAAAACAATTGGTCACTGTAATTTTTACCAAATGTTGCTTGAACAGGAGGATACAGTGTTTTTGTTGAGGACTATTAGAGTGGGAGATGAATCCACATTTTATGCTCTGGCAGCAGGACTGTGTGCTTACAATCAAGTCAAAATATCTACGGTGTGTATGTTCATGGTAGAGAGGGACAGTTATACACACACAGTGCTTGTTTGTTGGACACTTTCAGTGCCAGTCTTATGATAGTTCCCAAAGTAGCAACTGCCACAACAAGCATTGCTATCTGAATGTTAGCAGTAGTCCTGTTAACGCTCCTCTGTCCTTATGAATCAGAACGGCTACACTCCTCTCCACATTGCGGCCAAGAAGAACCAAATAGAAATAGCCACAGTCCTGCTGCAGTACAGAGCTGAGACCAACATCCTGACCAGGCAGGGTGTCACTCTGCTCCATCTGGCCCCCCAGGAGGGCCACGCTGCCATGGCTGCTCTGTGCATAGCAAAGGAGCTCAGGTCAACATCCCCACCAAGGTACAGTAGAAGACTGGGTTGGTTTTGAGTAATACATCAGTAAATAATGCACGTGGAATTACCAGATCAAGCAAGTGCTTTTGGGGAAGTACTGAATTTTGAAAACTTGCATTAATTATACCACTAACTGGACGGTGTTTCACTTAAGCTGCCTGACTGTTAAGAATCTATTCAATCAAATTATAAGTAACACATGTTATGTGCTGAACTATTTCCTTCCCAGAATGGATACACTCCCCTTCACCAGGCAGCCCAGCAAGGAAACACACACATTAACGTACTGCTCCAGTACGGTGCCAAGTCCAATGCTATCACTGTGGTATGTACTGTAAACACACATCCACACAAATAAAAGCACACAGACACACACATCTCATTAGTTTTTTCTCCTTGTCCAGAATGGTAACACTGCTCTGGGTATTGCTCGGAGGCTGGGCTACATCTCTGTGGTGGATACTCTCAGGGTCCTCACAGAGGAGATCATCACCACCACAACAGTAAGTCACACCCACCCACTGCGTGTAGTCAGCCTCATATTATAGAAGTCAGGAAACCGGTTCTTTGTTGGAGGGATTACTGGCTATGACTGCTCCTGGATCTGATCTGTCTACCAGCTTTATAATAGTCAAAGTGAAGAGTTACTGTATGGTTCAGTTACCTTTGGCACATTCACGTCATGAGAAATGTAAGATATTGACATGATGGCAGAATTGGCTGTGTGTGTATTAAAATACTTCACATTGGAAATATAGCGCTGTATCCATACAATTTGGGTATAATTACCTTTAAATGTGTACTTTGTCTGACATTAGTCGTTCATATTTGTTTGCTTTCTGATGCACTTGTGTGTTATTAAGCACCAAGTCAGATGGGCTGTTTTGTAATTACAACATGGATTTTGCCATAAACATGTAATAACAATAATGTCAGTGAAGTAATTACTTTAGAAAGAAGCTACCTCCTCACTTTCTGGTAATGATGCTCCATCACAGGACAAACGCTGTAAACCACTTTTCAGAGAGTATTCTTTGAACTGCAGTCATTTGAGGAAGATAATCTATGTACGGTGTGAACGATAGTTAATGGGATCCATTAACTCCCTTGCTGCCAGACGGTGACAAAGAAACACAAGCTTAATGCTCCAGGGACTGTGATTGAATTGCTGGATGTCTCTGATGAAGAGGGTGAGTCACGTTGTACACTAGTGTCTGTCAACATTAACCCACATTCTAGCCCTCAAATGCAAAAACAGTGGATCAGTTAGATTAATTACATCAACTGCTTGTCCCATTAAAAAAGATCCTGTGTGTGTTTAGTGGCTTGTCATAAGCAGGCTTCTGGTTAGTGCATGTACCCACTATACACTACTTGTCCAGCACCTGTTAGATGCATTTAGATATTAGCATAGTAGAGCTTTAGCTGCTGAAGGGCCAGATATTTCTTCCAGGAGCTGATGGAGACCAAACCAGAGCTAAAAGGAGAGTGAATATAAGCTTACATTCAAAAAAGAGAGACGCCTTTTCAACATGTGTCAAACGACTGCACAGCTCACATGCATTATCATCATACAGTTTATCCAGTCATGCCGTGACTGTTTTTTCTGATGGGACTGTTTACTTTGGCTGAACAAATGCCCTCAAACTTAAAAAACCCTACCCCTCAATGAAGCTAATGGGTAGCATGACTTTTTTCAGGTCATCTCTCAGGTATAGGACCAGCATGCACCTGGGACAGTCTATGGAATGTTTACCAGTGGAAGAGCAGCAGCAGTATCCATGATGTCTTCTTCTTCTTTTTTTTTAATTACTTTTTACTTTTGTTAAATACATAATGTTGGCTGAAGGTTATCCAGACAACATTATATTAATGTCTTCAGAAGGTTCTCAGAATGTTACAGCCACAATGTTTTCACATTGTTTAATAAATAACATTGACTGAATGTTATCCACATTACAATGACAACATTCTGAGAAGGTTCTCAAAAAGTTGTAGCCAGAACATTTTAGTTTTGTTAAATATACAACGTTGCTTCAAAGTTCACAAATAAGCATTGCATTCACAATGTTTTAAGAACATTTATTGAATATTTCAGCTAGAATGTTATAAATCGGTTCAAATATAACATTGCAACAACATTTTTTATCATTGAAAACATTTGTAGAACTTGAAGGGAAAGTTACTAACAGTTGTGGGAATGTTCCTTCCTAGCCGGGTAGATAAACATCCACCTGGGCTGTGTGACTTTTGCCAAGTAGTAGAGACAGTAGAACATGTACTACGTCGTTGCAAAGAATATACGTAATTCAGAGAGTGAAAGATTAGAACATCTTCTCTAAAGATTAGAGAAAGAGACCGCTTAGAGCACAGGGAGTAGAAGAATTGAATATTGAGTTTACTCAGTTATGAGGAAGTATAGTAAATAGTTGTCTTTTTATTTATTTATAGAAACCGGATTGATAAACAAAATTTTTTTTTATTATTATTTTTTTTTACCTTAACACGGGGATAAATATCTTTGGTCCACACTACGTAATGATAGGTGGTGGAAATGCACCTTAACGTTGGATGCAACCTACTGTTAAATAAAAACAAGAAGAAGAAATAGAAAGAGAAATAGAAATAGAAATCAAAACTGAGATTTGGGCATACTGGTTTGAAAAGTACATTGAAGTTGATGAAGGACCGTAATACAGGGGAATGTTAATTGTAGGATACAGGAAGTTGTGAAACATGTTATTATGGGTTGTCCCAGGTTCAGGCGGGAGAGGGAGTTATTTAAAAATACAGTTCAAAGCGGTGGAGTGAACTTTAATTTAACGGAGGTGTTGGAAAAAGCTCAGGGAAATTATAGGATACAGAGCACTTAAAGGGTTTTTAGAGAGTACAGGACTGAGCAAAACAACATAAAGTGAACTGAGTGATGTTATTTTAATATAGCAGTAGTGGTAAGCCGTTCTGATCCACAATCCAGTCTAGAAGGTGGCGGTAATGTACCTAAAGGTGTTTGCCAAATGCCAGTAAACAGAAGAAGAAGAAGTAGCAGCAGAACAAGATAAAGAAGAAGAAGAAGAAGAAGACCACGCTGCTGCTCGGTGCTGTGGTGTTTACATATCCCGCTGTCGACCGTAGGACTTTCGCGCCCCGGGGTAGGCAAACAGATCCACCATGCACGGCGACAATTGGTTGCGCACTTTTCTTCTGACAGCTTTGCTTCCTGTCGCGCCGCACATTGTGGCAGTAACAGTGCCCACGTACACAGACGGTCTTTCACATGCAGACACGCACATTAGGTGGCGAGAGTGTGCGCGGACGCTGCCGTAGCCCAAAGTCCCCCGGTCCGTGGTGGAGTGTCTTATCGGAATGTTTGAAGATTAACGAGGTTATCTGTGTCTTGTAGAGCGCCAGCTAGTGCCAGCTCGAGCCTGCAGGCCGGGAACGCGACGGAGTACTGCGGTACTAAGGAAGTCACCGTTGTAGCTGCATTAGACAACTTCAGGGGACGGTGCCATGACCGAGAGACGTATATCGAGGTGGTATTTCGGTGGACTGGCGTCCTGCGGAGCCGCCTGCTGTACGCATCCTCTGGATCTCGTCAAGGTGAGGAGCAGCCAGTGTCTGATGGATTGTGGAGGAGTTGCAGGCCAGAGCAGCACGCTGTAGTCTGGTGGTAGTACTACCACTGTATTTCTGAATGGCTTTAAGGTGTAGCCTAGTTGTGTGCTTAGCTGCAGTGAGCTGGTGGTGACCATGCCACACTCCTGGGTGTCATGTCTCCTGTGGTATTACTGTAACGTCTGTTAGAATGTTCTGGGCTGTTATAATGTAGGACACAGGTCAGTGGAACATGTGTAGCCCAGCTAACACACACTGTTAATATTAGTGGAGAATTATAGAAGGTAATTATTGGATTTCTTTTCATTTGAAGTACACACAATGGCCCATTGCATCCTTAGGCTTACATATAATAGGCTATATGGGATAAATATAATATGGTAGACTAATAGTAAGATCACATTTGTTAGGGTTGGATAATCTCCCCCCGTAATACTGACTGATTCTCGGGAAGTCATGTGCCCTGCAATTACTTCTCAGTAAAAATGTCTGGAGTGCTTTGTTTCTTCCCTATCGAGTGTGCTATGTGGCCATGTCATATACAGTTAGGAGCATAACTTTGAGTGTGGCCATTTAGTTGCCACAGTGTTGGTCGAGTCCCCTGTTACACTAGTCACATGTGGCTGCATCACATCATTACTTGTATTGAGAACAGCCTTTTATAGATGTGACCTGTTTTTGTGTACAACATTTACAAACTATGAAAACAGTCAATTGTATGTACAGCACAATTAACAAAAATGTACAAAGTAGGTTTCTGCACACTGGTGACAAATTAAAGGGAAAATGTGAATAAATGAGCGGTCTTTGCCAGGATGACGGTGCCTCCACCCACAGGGCACGAGGGGTCACTGAAAAGTTTGATGAGTACGAAAACAAACAATGTGAATCATTCGCTATGACCTTGACAGTCACCAGATCTGAACCCAGTTAAACACTTTTGGGAGGTTTAGGAGAGATGTGTCTGCCACTGTCATCAAAACACCACAAGAGGAAATATCTTTTGGATGAACAGGGTTCATCCCTTCAGTAGAGTCCAGGGACTTGTAGAATCAATGCCAAGGTGCACTGGTGGCACCTTGTAGCCTAGCACCTTACTACGACACAATATGTTTTTGTCCTTTAATGAGTAACTGGTCAGTAACTGCAAGTTTATTGCACAGAGAAGAAGCGAGGCCAGTTATCTTTAAGAGCACTAACTCTCCCAAACTGCAATTACATGCGAGCTCAAGCCTGTGACGTTATCACTGAAAAACAGCAGTTTACACGACATTGGAGTGAACGTACTGCTTAGTCTCTGTATATTTCCAGCTCTACCAGCGTTTCTGGTGAATGCTGTCAGTTTTGGGGTGGGCAGAACTTCTTTTGATTTGACAAGTAGTTGTAAAGACCTGTAAAAGTAGAAACCTGAAAAGAAGATATAAGAAAGGAATTAGAATTGAAATTTTTCATCTGCATCACTTTTTTATATAAGAAGGATTCAAATGTACTTAAAGAAAGGGTTGGAGTTAAGGAAACTTGCCAGTGAGCTGAGTGTTACTCAGGCTGACAACAGACTATTCTTGCCATGAATTGGGATGTGGTCCAGAGGTGTTTGAGTTGGTTGGGTTTCCTTCTGCCTGTGCTTCGCTGTACATCAACTCATCTGAGATCTCAGAAGAAATTCCTGGCTGATGTCTGAAACAGGGACTGTCTGGATGGTTTGGTGAAGCATGTTGGGTCATATTCTTGTTTGAAACAACAGTGTTAAGTCTTCTCGTTTCCTGAGTCTGTTTCTTTTTTTAATGCCTGACAAAGTAGTTCCCCCACCCCCACCCCTCTCTCCCAGACAAGCTCGAGACAGCTGCAACTTGAGCAGTAAATGTGGAATGGGGATGGGTCATGTTGCTACAACTTTTAACCTGTATTTGTTTACATTTTCCCAAACTGGCACCATTAAATGTACTCCAGATTAGCTATTAACAGTTCCAGTTTGCACAGTGTGCCCATGGATGTCCAGACAACTATCACCTGATTGTTTTGGTACTGAATAAAACCATAAAATGTGGTAATTCTCAGACAGATTCTGGAGATATAAGCAGTGTTTTTTCTGTGATTTGTAAGTGGTTTTGTTTATTCAAAGGCAACTGTAACATCATCTGAAAGTGTAACTTGCACTGAATCTAAAAATATGTATGCTGTGTGTGTTCAGATTGACTTAGTTATGAAGAACTGCCTTTTGAAGCAAATTGTTGCCAAGTGTTGTGACGCGCCCTCATCCTCCGTAAGCTGTGTCACAGCTGTAGAAATGAGAAAGTGTCTGACAGAAGTGAGGCAAGGCACTGTTTTGACCTGGTCCTTGTGATCCACTGGGACAGAGTGGATTGGTTCCAGCAAGTTTTCTGTCCCTGCTTGAGCAAATCAGGCTTGAAGGAAAAACAAAAACCTCAGTAGTTAATTTTTAAGTGCATCTTACTTAAGATTCTTAACAGAACACAAGGGTTAGCCAAATTTATAATGGTCCTAATGAATTGTAAAACAATAAGATAAGATTTTATTCTGTGTATTGTAAACAGCACTTTTATGTGCATCATAACTTTGGATGGCCCAGAATGCATCTGGTGAATAATATTTTATACTGTTGTGCTGTGATTTCCCCTGACAGCTGTCATTTTAGAATGAAAAAACAATGGAACACACAGTTCACCTTCAGGCAGAGGCACTCCTGATCATAATTGAATTTATAGGGCTGTCCTCATTCATGAAGGGCTGTTAAAACATTTCAACCACGTAGCTTTTAAGATAAACACGAGAACTCCGTCAATGGATAGTGAGGCATATGTTGCTTTTCTATCAACAGCGCACCGAGCTTCGAATGTTAAAAGCTCCTTAATACTTAAAAGCTGTAAATAGGGAATCTAAATTTAGATGGATTGAAGTGTAATTCAGACTACACAATGTTTGAATGTGGTTTTCAACAGGGAAGTAGGGCTTGATCAAACACACATATCACATAGCAGAAAGTGCTTAGTCATGCTTTGAGTTTCTCTTTTGTGTTATTGCAGGTATCCATTACACCCCAGAGAGGCTGCTAGGTTGTTGTCCTGAAGTAACACGGTAGAGTTGCTAAACAAGATTAGTTGGACATGACATATGAAAAACAATCTTGTATTCAGGCAGTTGTCAGCTCATTTGTGTGTAATCTTTCACCATGTTGTGTGTACATTTGAAGTCAGGAGTTTACATGCACCTTAGCCAAATATATTTCAACTCACAGCTCCTGACATTTAATTCTATAAACATTCTTAGGTCAGTTAGAATCACTACTTTTTATTTTAAGAATGTGAACTGTCAGAATAATAGTAGAGAAAAAGATTTATTTCAGCTGTCATTTCTTTCATCACATTCCCAGTGGGTCAGAAGTTTACATACACTCAGTTAGTATTTGGTAGCTTTGCCTTTACACTGTTGAACTTGGGTCAAACCTTTGGGATGCCTTCCACGAGCTTCTTCCAGTAAGTAACTGGAGTTTTAGCCCACTCCTCAGAACTGGTGGAACTGAGTCGGGTCTGTAGGCCTCATTGCTCACACAAACTTTTTCAGTTCTGCCCACAAATACACTATTGGACTGTGGGCAGGGCTTTGTCATGGACACTCCAATGCATTGACTTTGTTGTCCTTAATCCATGTTGCCACAACTGTTGAAGTCTGCTCGGGGTCATTGTCCATTTGGACAAGACCCATTTACAACCAAGCTTCAGCTTTGTGGCTGATGTCTTGAGATGTTGCTTCATTATATCCACATATTCCTCCTTCCTCATGATGCCATCTATTTTGTCAAGTGCCCCAGTTCCTCCTGCAGCAAAGCACCCCCACAACATGATGCTGCCAGCCCTGTTGTTCATGGTTGGGATGGCGTTCTTTGCCTTGCAAGCCTCCCTCTTTGTCCTCCAGACATAACGATGGTCATTATGGCCCAACAGTTATATTTTTGTTTCATCAGACCAGAGGACATTTCTCCAAAAAGTCAGATCTTTGTCCCTGTGTGCATCTGTAGACTGTAGTCGACCTTTTTATGGCAGACTCAGAGCAGTGGTTTCTTCCTGGCTGAGCAACCTTTCAGGTTATGTTGCTATAGGACTTGTTTCACTATGGATATAGACACTTTGGTACCTGCTTCCTTCAGATTTGTTGTCTACGTTCATCTGTAGGAGACAGAAGGCGTCTCCTTCCTGAGCAGTATGATGGCTGTGTTGTCCCATGGTGTTTATACTGCATAGTATTGCTTTGTACAGATGAACGTGGTACCTTCAGGTGTTTGGAAATTGCTCCCAAGGATGAACTAGACTTGTGGAGGTCCACAGTTTTTCCTGAGGTCCTGGCTGATTTCTTTTGATTTTCCCATGATGTCAAACAAAGAAGCACTGAGTTTGAACATAGACCTTAAAATCCATCCACAGCTGCACCTCCTATTGACTCAAATGATGTCAGTTAACCATCTTCTAAAGCCGTGACGTTTTCTGGAATTTTCCAGGCTGGTTAAAGGCCCAGTGTATGTAAACGTCTGACCCAGTGATATAGTGAATTCTAAGTGAAATAATGGGTAAACAACAGCTGGAAACATTACATGTGTCATGCATAAAGTACATGTCCTAATGGACTTGCCAAAATGAGAGTGTGTTAACACGACATCTGTGGAGTGGTTAAAAAACAGTTTTATTGACTTCAACCTAAGTGCATGTGAACGTCTGACTTCAGCTGTATGTGATTATTCCTGTGTTTATACTGTCCACATTAAATTGCCTAGTCATATCACAGTTTTGCACAACACTTTGTAATCCCTTTATCAGAGCTTTAAGGAAAATACTGGAGTTGCAGCAGTTAGTTCTGCTGTTTTACATTCCCTTATGTCATTGTGCAAGATTTATTTCCCACAGTGGAGGAACCTGGTTTGTAACTAGATTGTGTTTGGTTATCAAAAACAATTTTAGAAGAGTTAACATTCAAAGATTTTTTTTTTCTGGATTTTTAGCAGTGCCAGCTACATATCCCAATGCATGGCACTGTCTTTTCCTTGGTGCAGACTGACACTTTTCAGTGTGTGCTGGATTGATTGGCATACAAATTAATGCAGAAAGTCTTCATTCTCAGAGAATTACTGTGGATGGCTTCGGTAACCCCCTGACTTTACCTCTAGTGCCACCAGGAGGTCAAAGTTTTAAGTTCATCCACTGAAGTATTTTGACATCTACTTGGAACAGAAGATGTGGATTTGTGTGTTTGATTTTCTCCACAAGAAGGAACAAAAAATGAACATGTGGCTGACGTTGCAGCCCTAGTAGGAGCATGCGTCATCTGTGTCTGCAGATTTGTTGTCTCCGTGTTCTGTCACATGTTTATCATCTCACTCACGACTCTGCTTAGCATGGTATTCAGTCCTTATACATGACTGTCATTCCAGGTTCACCTGCAGACACAGCAGGAGGTGAAGAAGAGGATGATGGGGATGGCCGTTCATGTGGTGAAGAATGATGGGGTGCTGGCTCTTTACAACGGCCTCTCTGCCTCCCTTTGCAGACAGGTGTGTATGTGTATGTGTTTTCTCATTTGACCACATAGATGTTAATACTCTAGTCTGTCTCTAGATCCTTCACTAAGACTAAAAATAGATATATAATTAAACCCCCACTGATTTCTTGTTTTAGCGTAATTTTTATTACATATAGAATGATGTTATGGACACTGACTACAATAAAGTTAAGTGTTTTATTGTACATTGTAGAACATTTCAGTATTGCAAATAAACTGAGGTAATAATATAAAAATACCCAGAAGTGATCTCAATAAAACAATAATGATAAAACAGACACAACTGGGATAAAAACCTGTTAATAAAAAGCTTTTTTAGTCAGTTTTGAGAAGTGATTTCAGAGATGTTGCCACTATGTTTCGTCAATATACACAACTGTTAAAAAAGAAGTATATTTGTAATGGATGATGGGAGTGTGTGATGATAGGTGTGTGTTCAGCAGTTCTGTAAATGTGAGGGATCCAGGATGGCTGAAGAGGATGCCTGTCTAAAACCTCTTCAGATCTGTTGTATTGTCAGAGGCTCATCCTAGTGGTTGAAAGATGAAAATGTTAAGTAATGAGCAGAGTACGGGATTCATCCTCCTCTCTCTCCTCTCTCTCCTCAGATGTCATATTCCCTCACCAGATTTGCTATCTATGAAACAGTGAGGGACATGATGGGCAGCACAAACCAGGGCCCCATGCCCTTCTACCAGAAGGTCCTGCTGGGTGCCTTCGGAGGTAGGAATGCACACGGCCATGTTTTGCTTTTCGCCGTCTCTCTTCCTTGTCTCTCTTGCACACGCAAGCATATGGGCTGCATCTGAAATCACTCCCTACGCACTATGTAGTGCACTATATAGTGTTCGCCATGTTGTAGTGGTGTCTGAATACTAAGTGTGTTAATCTGTCCACTACGGAGTGCAGGGTTGGACAAGTTTCGGTCGGTTCTTATGATGAAAAACCCTTTAAGTGTCCTAAGTCTCAGTTTACTGTTCACTGCTGAGTGAACTGCTTACTTTACATGTTGTATTGAGTAGTCCTCGGGGTGATTTCAGACACAACCGTGCTGCTTTTCCATCAGCATGAGTCAGCCTGTTTTAATCAAGCCGAGCTGCAATTTCACTGCAGTAAGATTTGAAAATGGAGTCTTCTCACTTGGTGATGAGGGGTTAAAATAACACCTAACACTACGGGCTCCATGTTGCAAGCTAGTTACACTGCACTGACACCATGAGTTATGTGTCGCTTGCTGACTCGGGAGCAGCTCAGCATGGTTCTGTCCTGCACACCTCTGCTCAGCAGGGCTGACCCGCGCCGATGGGGAAACACCAGCACTTTATGTGCACATGCAGGATTGTGTGCAAACATAATTTCACTGTCAACAGGTTTCACTGGTGGGTTTATCGGCACGCCGAGCGACATGGTGAATGTCAGGTAACATGTCATGACAATATTTAAATGGACATTAATATTCAGCATGTGCCTGTAAACGACCAGTTAATGCTAATTGTGGAATTAAAAGATCTGAATAATATGTGCTTCTAGGATGCAGAATGACATGAAGCTACCACCAGAACTGAGGAGAAAGTGAGTGATGTAATGTTCTCACGTGTCGGGTTTGACCCTCTCAATGCCTTATCACAGTCTAACACTGAATGGTTTTTTTATTCTTTCAGCTACAAACATGCCATTGATGGGCTTTTCAGAGTCTTCAGAGAAGGTAAATTCCCACAGTATAGTGTATCTAACGTCGCATTAAGCACACAGCGGCATCATGTCTGACGTTTGACCTGGATCCTGTCCTGCAGAGGGTGTGAGGAAACTGTTCTCAGGAGCCACCATGGCCTCCAGCAGAGGGGCGCTGGTCACCATAGGACAGGCAAGTTCCATTGTTCCTGCTCTGGTGTTTGACATATTTATAAATGGAAATCGGTTATTACAGTGGCTGAGAAGTTCAGGGCAGGGCCACACAGTCACGCAGGGTGCAGAGCAGAAAGGCCACAGCACAACAGAGAGAAGCATGTGCTCTGACTGCATTCAAACAGAATCCTTCCCACAAGGCTGTGCAGAGGTTTGGCTGGGTTTATTTGTGCTTTAGAACTTAAACAAAGGGGAAACAATCCCAAAATAGTTACAATTCTCTGAGCCACTTTGTTCTCGCTGACACCGCGCTTCCTCTGCATTCAATCTCTAGCTCTCGTTCCGTCTCATCTCATTTATACAGGAGGTGGGGCAAACTCAATCTCAGCAAAACTACTACTACTACCTCTCATTGCAGCATTTTGGAGGTCAACTTTGACCCCCCCCCAAGCCTTTTTTACACCGAATGGCGAGGCAGAAAGCTCCTGCGTTGAATGAGCAATGTAAAAGGTGTCGTGTCTGGGCTGTTGTAATCTTAATCTCAACCCATTTTCACTCAAACACTTTAAGATATCTATTAGTCATGTTACAGGAGATGTCAAATTTAGAATCCATCTGAGTGTCCTTTTAATAAGGCAGTTGGATCAAACAGAATAAAAGATACGTTAGGTTGTCGGTGCTGACAAAGGTTGGTATCAGCCAAGATGAATAGGACACTTGTTCAAATTGTACCATTTGCATTTTGTATTATACATGAATCCTCCTGCCTCATGTTGATGTTTTATGTTGGTAAGGACATTCAAATGAAACCGACCTCAGACTCTAGCAATGTGTTTACATGTACATGGAGTGATTGACTACAGGTCAGGGCACCCATGAAGGTATAGATGCAATACCTGAGTATGAAATGCACTGGATGTGCATTAAATGTACTATAACTGATTCATTAAAATATGCCTGCATCAAAATGCGTAACAACGTTTTTCATTATTATTTTGAAAAGTCACCAACAATTGCATGTGTCTAACACAACACGGCCATTAGTCTCATTTGATTTATTATACTCCTCCCTTGACTTTTACAGGCAACTTGATTTAAAATCTTCCATATCGATGTGGAGGAATAGAAGGGGGATGCACTGGTCAAAGCATTTAAAGTGTCAGAAAACATCAAAAAACATCTTTGGGCATTTAAATTGGTGACGGCCGTGGAAACAGTAAAGGCTTCTTTTGTTGGATGTTGTACATGTGTGGCACAGTGTAGTGGTAATAGAGGAATCCCAGGGGCAAAACAGTACAGTGCAGCTTTACCAAGTTCAACCCAGCAAGGAACCAAATGAGAAATGTGTTTGAGCTGAGCACTGCAGGATGATTAATAACCCACAGAGCCACTCAACAGCCTCAAAAAATGACAAAACAGGCCCTACAGTGCAGTGTCCGTGCTCCAACAGTACATGTACTGTAGGTAGCAAATCGTTACCATTTCACTGTTTATTAAAAAGACCACTGACCTAATGCTGAGCTCCACATAGCACCACAAGTGCATGCCTACCGAACTGATCAGATCAGTTTACCAGCCCAGTTTGTTTTGTATTCAGCACTACTAGAAATCCAGGCTGCACACAGTTGTTTTGCATTGGCACTCACAATAAACTCAGTGGAAGTTCCCTGGTGAAAAATCTGCCAGACGCACATGTTCAACCTGTAATAGTCCTGCACTGTGCAACACTTAACAGACATATAGTGATCACATCCTGCCAACACTACAGTAATTTCACTGACGTCTGTCAATCACACATCTACTACAGGAGACGCGCCGCTGGAGCAGCGTTTCCTGTTTGGACCTGTGTTTTTCTATGGCTGAAGCTCAGCATCTGAACCAGGATTATAGAGGTTTTTTTTCTTACCACTAACATGTCACACTTGTTCTGTCTCATATTTTTGCCACCTTCAGCTGGCGTGTTATGACCAGGCCAAGCAGCTCGTGTTGGGTACAGGGATGATGGGGGATAACATACTGACACACTTTCTTTCCAGCTGTATTGCTGTAAGTATCGGGTTATATTTGTCTGCACTCAAAGCCTGGTTGAGTGGGTATAAAGCTTCCAAGGCCTTTTTGTTAATGATTCTCAGCTTGTGTAAACTGTTGTTTTGCAGGGAGGCTGTGCCACGTTCTTGTGTCAGCCTCTGGACGTACTAAAGACGAGGCTGATGAACTCAAAGGGAGAGTACACAGTGAGTAGATCCCTCCTCCTCCCTCTTCACTGACTCTTCTTTCCTTCATTTGTTTCGTCATATCTGCTGTCTCCATTTCTCTGTTCGTTCTAACCCAGTTTGCCTCTCTCTTCAGGGAGTGATACATTGCCTACGAGAAACGGCCAGGCTGGGTCCCCTGGCATTTTACAAGGTAAAAAAAAAAACAAACAAACAAAAAAAACAATCCTTCACCCTATACATAAACACCACTATGATTATTTCTTTACAGGTACTAAAATGTATTATTTTAGTATTTGACCCATCTTAGATGCATTTTAACTCACCTACTAAGCAGGATGGTGTGCTCTTCCTTCTACATGCCAATGCATGTTTGTACTGTATGCTCTGAAGTCAGTGGGTTTTCTGAATCTGTTTTTAGTTATACACCTGAAATAAGGTCTGTGGTTAACACAAGGCCAGTACATGCTGACATCCAGGCTGGCTCACAAACGAACGTTGTGGCACTCTATAGTGTCACTAATCAGATGAGTCAACACTATCTGTGTTTTGAATCAAGAAATGTTGTGTTATTTTGTAAATACAATGACATATTGTGTGACTTTGAACCATGACACTTCTGTTTCATGCCGTCCTTATTTAACATAATATCATAATAAATCGGTGTAGTAGTAGCTTTAAGTCGACAGATGTAATGTTACAAATAATAATCGAGTGCTAAATTCTGTTGCAGGGTCTCGTCCCCGCAGGGATCCGCTTGGTTCCCCACACAGTGCTCACCTTCATCTTTCTCGAGCAGCTCAGGAAATACTTCGGCATCCGCATCATCGCCTGAAGATGCTCTGCAGCTGTCCACTCCTCACCCCCGCCCCCACCCCAACCCCTCAATCGGTCTTTATGCTCTGTATGACTTTCAAAATGAGAAGCCAAGAAAGGAAGTCGTGTACAGTTCTAACGGCTTGTACATACCTTCCTTTTCCTTTTGCTCTCCCTTTGTCTCATAGCTAGATGCTAAATGATTTTGATGAGTAAGAGCAGCGACTGCTGGAAAGGATAAATACTGGAACAACAGATGATTCCTAATCAGTATAGATTAAACGTCTGATACTAAGAAAGAAGCTGCTACCACCTATAAATGTGCTGGTGGGGATTCATTAGAATGACCTGCCATCTTAAGAGTGAACATTTAAAATGACCTCTAGCAGATGTTTAATGTAGCTGTCTTTAGTATTTAGGTGCACTTAATTACATGAGGGGACGAGACATGTTCAGGTTGCTGCTGGCACACCAGTGTAATAACACTTGTACATATTGTGGCTTAACACTGTTGTTGTCATATCAGGCCAGGCCAGTGCTTGTAATTTAACATAAGTAAAATAAACACCGTGAGGTCTTGTCATCAGTGCCCTACTGACCAGTCTATAATAGCCCACACCATCCATTGCTAAAAGATGACTGAGCAAGCTGTTATGTAATTACAGTAATCATTCCCTACAGTGGTGACCAAATGTGATTTACAGTTGATTTATTTGTTTGCCTTCTTACCACCTAATTGTTTTTGGGCTGGGAATCATTAGCTTTTACCTGGTACTTCTTTACTCTATTCCTCTCAGATTGATCGGAGAAGAGTGCCAAGCTTGTTTATCTTTTGTTCTTAAGCATGAAGGGAGTTTGTGGGGAAACTGGGAAGCTGAGAGCGCAGACTGGGAGTGGCTCTTTTAAGTTTTCCAGTCTCAGTTAAATTGCTTACAACCACTTGATCTCTTAAAGTTCTTCCTGTTTGAGTAGAGATGCCTGTTGAGCAGCCTAAGTACATGTACCATTTCCATCTGTATTGTTACTGTGTGGTCCAGCTAAATGCATGTCAGACTTTATGACTCAGGATGTTATGCTGTTGTATAAGGCACTTTATGAAAAACCCCTGAACTCGTACTGACTAACCTGCTGCGTCATAACACATACACTACACTAAAACATGTTCTAAAGTTAAAAATGGAAATGCTGTGACTTTAATTCACGATTCCCTTTGAGGATGTTTTGTGGCTCTTGTCACTCGGTGTCTCATGATAAGTTTGCTTTTGGCTCAGTGAAATCAAGCTTTCTCTGTGCTGTGCTTGCTCTTGTACAGACCAGCAGTGTTGCCTTACCGTTTCTGCCCTGCAGGGGGCAGAGTAGTAACGTGTGAGGTATCCTCTGTCACACATTCTGCAGTCCTGCACCTGCATCCCAGGACACATTGGAAAAACAGAAAGCTTCATGTTCAGAGCAGCCTGAGAGCATGACCATGTGTGCCTGCGTGTTCTTATGTTCAGGGGTTGGGCAGTGTGATGTATTGTACTCTGATTCAGCCAATGTTATGTTAACAACTTTATTCACAGTGGTGGAAATTAAGTAATTTACTCAAGTCCTGTACTTAAGTACAATTTTAAGGTATCTGTACTTGAGTATTTTCATATTCAGTTACTTCATACTTTGACTTAACTACATTTTAGAGGCTTTTCATAACCAGATTAATAATCAAAAAATGCAGTATAATTATAAGACCTCATTGATCTATGGTGGAAAATTCACAAGCTACCCAGCAGTAATTCAAACTAAATGTATAGAAGCTAGTTAGAACTAGCTCCCCCTTCACCAGCTGCAACATTTAATGTGATGTAGTCAATAATGCATCAGTAATTATAATCCAATATAATGTGAAATGTGCCATTGTGCATCATTAGTACTTTTGGTACCTTAAATATGTTTTGATGCTAATACTGCTGTACTATTATGTACAGTAAGTAACATTTTGAATGTAGGTCCTTTAATTGTAACAGAGTATTTTTACACTGTAGTATTGCTAATTTGACTTAAGTAAAGGATCTGAGTGCTTCTTCCACCACAGTTTATTCATATGTGCAGAAATAAAAGTGGAGGCTCCTTGGTGTTAGTTTTTTTTTGTAGATGATTAACTAATGATTTTGGAATTAAAATACTAATGTAAAATAAATGTATGGTTTGTGTGCTGTGTCTGTTTGCAGTATGTCTGGATATCCAGATATAAACTTTTTTTTTTTTTTTTTTTTTGGAAAAAAGATTGGTCTAAGTCACACCACCTTTTAAATAATGATTTTTTTTTTAATGTCATTTCATAAATCAGCTGCAGGCCCTCTGGGCTCTGCTAACTCCACATTATAAAACAAACAGCATGATCTTTGTGTTTCTGCTTCCACAGGCATGTCGTACAGCAGCACTGGCTGTGACTGAATCAGGCTTCACCCTCTGGGATTTGTCTGCATCACAACAAGGACATAGTTTAATGTTGTCTCTGCAGACATTCTCAGAAGCCCCTAGACTTGGGATTGGTACCTATTTTGGCTGCACCACGAGACAGGACCATCACAGTGACACCACTCGGATGTAATGATGAACGGCGACAGCGTGGCTGTTGCTCTGCTGCCCATTCCTTTATTAATACCATCCATCACATGCAAAGCATTGATTGTGCTGGCCCTTGCTCTATCCCATTATGTGTGGGAATTTGCCTTATGCCTCAGCACGCACTCGACTCATTTTGTTGTCATCAGGAGTCCTATTACACAAATTTGCCTGTGTCTATATGGATAAGGAAAATCAGGCTGTAGGTCATCTTATGGTGACATTCTTAGTTTGATTTGAGGAGGAACCGTCACCCCTATCAGTCAGGTTAACTATAATCATCAGTATTGTGAGAAGGATTCAAGATTTTATTATTACCAAGTTTTTGAAAACGCTGGTTCAGCTCATTTTGCTAGTTTAAACAAACAAGCTAGCAAACATGCAACGCTGTCAGAACCACTCGGATCTTCAGGGTGTAAAATGGTCCGGCGTCTGTGTTACATCCATTATGAGGCGGTGAAAACAAACTGAGCTGTGATTTTTATGCTGAAGTGGAATTATTTTTCTTTAATGCACATCAGTGTGTTTCATTATTGTTCTATTTCTCTATGAGCACTAATTTGTATTTTATGACTGTATTTTGAATCCAGTTAGTAATGCTGCTGCTTTATATACACAAATTTCTGCTATAAATACATATTGGACAATAAAATATCAAATGAAAATTACAATAACAAAGTCAAGGAAGTAGTGCAGGAGCTCCAAGAAAGGCACAGTTGGGTTAAATAAGGACACATAAACAGATGAATGGACTGAATCCAGTATTTGTAAGGAAGGGGAGAAAGAAATGCCTCTTCCTAGATGTATTCAGGTCAGAGCTGACTTAGGGTTACAGCTGTACTGTACATTTGTAATTGCCTGAAATCAGGGAGCGTCACTGCTGTGTGTTGGTACGTGAACCATTGTTTTGTTGTCTTGAACAGTGACAATAAAGCTGATTTTTATGTGAATGGGTGTAAAATGTGACAGAAACTTGGAGTGTCGTCGTGTCGGTGTTTGTGAGGTAACTGCCTCCTACATTTAAAATAACACAAGCTAAGCCCTGAAACACTGAACCAAATTCAATTAGCTGTGGCAGTATCTTTGTAATTAATTTGATGAAAATACACATTAGGATAAAAGTTGTTTTCTCAGGACAGGATGCAAACATTTTATTTATTGTAAGTAACAGTAAGTATTGGGCTTCTTCATGTGGCCAGAGGAAGGATAATGTCACTCCATGTCTGCAGTCTGTGAATGTGTAAACATGCAGCGATAACCACCTCTCACATGGGTGATGCGGTTTCACTCAGCAGTGTGGTCTGTATATAGAGGGCACTGATCATATTGAAAGTACTGTGAATGGGAATAATAAAGTAATGCCCCACTTTACTGGCCAGCTGTGGCTCAGTTTAATCTAAGCTTGGTCAAGGGTTCAAAGAAAAAGGACTGGTGGCTGTGAGCCGGCACTGACAGAGACTCAGCCGGAACTGATATTAACTCCAAGGTCACAGTGAAGCCCT